CAGGTGTACAGTGCAGTGATCTAGCCTCTACCCCATCCATGATGTGGTCCCCCTAGCAAGACATGTGACCATCTGACACACTACAAAATATTGACAACATTATTAACTATATTTCTTGAACTGTCTTCATATCCCTGTGGCAATATTGTAGTTATCTATGCTGTCTAATCCCTTCCCCTTCTCCCTCATCCACACCCCCTCCCAACTAGCAACCATCAGTTGTTCCTCTATATCTCTGAGCCCATTTCTGTTTACTTTGCTCATTCATTCAGTTGTTTAGATTCCACATATAAGTGAAATCATATGGTATTTGTCTTTCTCCGACTGACTTATTTCACTTAACATAATAGTCTCTAGGTTCATCCATATCGTCGCAAATGGTACGATTTCATTCTTTTTTTTATAGCGGAGTAATACTCCATTGTATAAATGTACCACAGTTTCTTAATCCAGTCATCTACTGATGGGCATTTCAGTTGTTTCCATGTCTTGGATATTGTGAATAGCACTGCAATAAACATAGGGGTGCATATATTTTTTCAAATTAGCATCTTGGGTTTCTTTGGATAGATACCCAAGAGTGGAATTGCTGGGTCATACGGTAGTTCCATTTCCAGTGTTTTGAGATACCTCCATTATGATTTCCATAATGGCTGTATCAATCTGCAGTCCCACCAACAGTGTAGCAGGGTTCCCTTTTCTCCACAGCCTCACCAGCACTTGTTGTTTATTGATTTATTGATGATAGCCATCCTGATCGGAGTGAAGTGGTATCTCATTGTGGTTTTTATTTGCATTTCTCTAATGATCAGTGAGGTTGAACATTTTTTCATATGCCTCTTGGCCATTTGTATGTCCTCTTTAGAGAAATGCCTCTAGTGATGAATTTCTTAAAGCAGTTTTGCAGCTTGTCTATTAATTCATACTACTTTTATAAATTTCTTTGATTCTTTTTAAAATAATTGTTTTTAATTTTTAAGTTAGAGTTGACATACAATATTATATTAATTCGGGTGTATAACATAGTGATTAGACGTTTATATAATTTACAAAGTGATGGCACTGATAAATCGTACCCATCTAACAGCATATGTAGTCATTAACAATATTATTTGATATATTCTCTATACTATACTTTACATACCCATGACTATATTGTAAGTACCAATTTGTACTTCTTAATCCCTTCCCCTTTTTCACCCATCCCCACATCCCCTCCCATCTGGAAACCCTCTAAACATTCTCTGTATCTATGAGTTTGTTTCTGTTTTGTCTGTTCGTTTATTTTCTTCTTTAGATTCCACATATAAGTGAAATCACATGGCATTTGTCTGACTTACTCCACTCAGTATAGTACTCTCTAGGTCCACCCATGTTGTTGCAAATGACAAGATTTCATTCTTTTTTTGTAGCTGAGTAATATTTCATTGTATATATACATATATATACATATATATATATATATATATTATATATATATATATATATATATATATATATATATATATATATATATATATATATATCCTCTTCATCCAATCATTTGTACATGGACACTTGGGTTGCTTCCATATCTTGGCTATTGTAAATAATGCTGCAGTGAACATATGTTTACATAATGTCTTTTTAATTGGTGTTTTGGGCTTCTTTGGGTAAATACCAAGAAGTGGAATTGCTGAGTCCTTCTTTACCTCTTATAGCCTTTGTGGGCAGAAGTATAACTACTCCAGCCTTTGTTTTTTGCTTCCGTTTTAATGAAGTATCTTTTTCCATCCATTTACTTCAGTCTGTGTGTTTTTCTTTCTGAATTGAGTCTCTTGTAAGCAGCATGTGTAAGGGTCTTGTTTTCTTACCTATTCAGTTACCATATGTCTTTTGATTGGAACACTTAAGCCATTTACATTTAAAGTAATTGTTCATAGATAATGTAGTTATTGATACTTTATTCATTTTTTTCTCCTTCCTCCTCTTCTTCTTCCTCTTCTTCCTCCTCTTCTTCTTCTCCTCCTCCTCCTCTTCCTCTTTCATCTTCTTCATTTCCCCTTCCCCCTTCTCCTTTTTCTCTTCTTCCCCTTCCCCTTCCCCTTCCTCTTCTTGTCCCTTTAACTTTTCTGATAATACTCTTTTGGTGGTGATGACCTCCTTTAGCTTTTTCTTGTCTGCAAAGCTCTTTATCTCTCCTTCAATTTTAAATGATAGCCTTGCTGGGTAGAGTAATCTTGGAGGTATGTCCTTGCTTTTCATCACTTAGAATATGTCCTGCCAGTCCCTTCTGGCCTGCAAAGTTTCTTTTGAGAAATCAGTTCACTGTCTTATGAGAGCTCCCTTGTAGGTAACTAACTGCATTTCTCTTGGTGCTTTTAAGATTCTCTCTTTGTCTTTAACCTTTGGTATTTTAATTGTGGTGTGTCTTGGTGTTGGCCTCTTTGGATTAATCTTGTTTGGAACTTTCTGAACTTCCTGGGCATGTATGTCTATTTTCTTCACCAGGTTAGGGAAGTTCTCTATCATTATTTCTTCTAATAAGTTTTCAGTTCCTTGCCCTCTCTTTTCCTTCTGTTACACCTGTGATGTGAATGTTAGTATGCTTGATATTGTCCTAGAGGCCTCTTGAATTATACTTTTTTTTTGGATTCTCTTTTGTTTTTGCTGTTCTGGTTGGGTGTTTTCTGCTACCTTATCTTCCAAATTGCTGATTCAGTCCTCTTCTTTATCTAATCTACTGTTTATTCCCTTCAATATATTTTTCATTTCAATTATTACCATGATTATATTCTTTTTTCTGACTAGTTCTTTTTTTTATGTTTTCTACCTCAATTTTTGTTTTCTATCTCTTATTTGAAGTTTTCACTGAGATCACTGAGCATCCTTATAACCAGTTTTTTCAACTCTGTATCTGGTAGGTTGCTTGTCTCTATTTTGTTTAGTTCTTTATCTGAAGCTGTGTTCTAATCTTTCGCTTGGGACATTTTTTTTGTCTCCTCAGTTTGGCTGCCTCCCTGTGTTTGCTTCTGTATATTATGTAGAGCTGCTATATCTCCTGATCTTGGTAGAGTGGCATTATGTGGTACGTGTCCTGTGGGGTCTGGTAGCACAGTCTCACTAGTCACCTGAGCCAGGTGTTCATGCGTGTCCCTTATTTGGGGTGTTTGTGCCCTCCTGTTTTTAAGCCTTGGTTGTTGTTTGCACATCAGTGGGAGGGATTGATCCTTGGGCTGATTGGTTGTGAGGACTGGCTGTGACTACAGTGGAAGAGCTGTTATGCAGGCACTAAGGTATGGAGCAGGATTCACTTTAGCATGGTTCTGGTGCCTGGGGAGTCTGCCTGTTGGGTGTGTCCTTTGTGGAGGTGATTTGATGGTAGTCAAGAGTGAACTGAACCTGGCCACTGGGTTAGTAGGTTCTGGGAGCTCTTGGTAAGGGCTCTAGTGCAGGCCAAGGTCTGCTGCTGCCTGTGCCTTGTCCGGGTCCTCTTGCTATGAGCTACAAAGTGATCTGCAGATGGTTACCACTTGTGTTGGGCTTGTAGGTGCCTAAGAGAAGCTTAGCTGTGAACCGAGGCTGGCTGCCACTAGTGCAGGGCTTGGGGCTGCTTAGCAAGAGGTGCAGAGCTTTCCAAGGCCACAGGCTGCTTTTTTGGGGTTTGTGAACCTTTGAGAGATTTTAGGAAAGGCTGCAGCATGAAGCAAGACAGGCCCTTTGTTTGGAAAAGCCACTGGAAGGGGCTTGGGTGGGCTGGCTCTCAAGTTGGGTGGAGCAGGGCCTCAGGGAATTCTTAGGGCGGGGCGAAGTGTTTTAGCCAAGTTGATGGAGACTCAAATATAGCACCTGCTTATGCATATAGGCTGGGTGTGGGGAGGGCTCAACAGAGGAACAGTGGATTCTGCCAGTATTTCTATCTGGGAGAAAGCTGCTCCTTCAGGCCTCTCCCTGCAGCCAGACAACTGAGTTCCTCCCCGTGTGTCCCTGACACCTTTTGAGGTGGTGCTCCAGTGCTGGGACTCAGAGTGAGTGAGTCCATTAGCGAGTAAGTTTATGCACAGGAACTTTAAGAGGAGTGCCTGGGACTGCAGCAGCCCTCCCTCTTACTCAGCCACAGTCTCCACTGGTTTTCACAGCCAGAAGTTATGGGGAATTCTCTTCCTGGCACTGGAACCCTGAGTTGGGGAGCCTGGTGTGGGGTAGGGACCCCTCATTACTCAGTGGGGCCATGCACATTTGAGGCATCCCTCGGGTGTTTTTGTTTTTTTTAGCTGAGCCATCCTGCTACCTATTGGCAGCTTAGCAGCTGCTCAGCTCAGGCCAGGACTCAAACCGCTGTTGCTCAGAGCTCACAATCTTGAGCGAGCTCTTAACTAACTGAGCCACTCAGCCAGCCCTCAGGCATCCCTCTTGATTTTTAACTGCCACACATGGATGTGGTATCTGCCCATTTTGCATCTCTGCCCCTCTTGCCAGTCTTAACATGTCTTTCTGTATATCTTTAATTATTGGACTTCTATTCAGCTAGACTTCAGACAGTTCTCAATGATGGTTGTTCTGTACATTAGTTGTAATTTTTTGCAGTCCTGGGAGGAGGCGGGTACAGCGTTTACCTACTCCATTATCTTGACTGGAATCCCCTGCAAGTCATAGTTTTACCTTCAGTATAATTTAGAAAAATTTAAGAAGTCTATTGTCTTAAAAATTATCTTAAAATAATGTTGCTCTGTAAATTATTTAGCAATTCTTCCCATTTCCTTTAACCCTACTTATATATGTTTGTATTGGAGATGTGGCTACTGCTCTTTTTCTTATACTGATTTTCTTATTATGTGGCTTAATAAGAAAATGTTTATCTGACTTCTTGAAGTTTGTTTGTTATCATCCTTAAGGAAAAAATTACAATGTGTGTGGGCTTTTCCAATGAATAGCTTGAGTTTACTTGTTTTCATTACATATTCATTCCTGCTAACTTATTCTATTTTATAGTATTTTCTATTATGTCTTTCCTTTTCATAATAACTTTGCTTTTTGGTGTACCCTGAAAATTTTTACTTATTGTAGAAAGATGTTCTTCTGAGTACTATGTAATACAGATAAATAAAAATAAAGTAATTATGAAAAGTTATATTGAAGTATAATTAAGGATCATGGAAATCAAAATCAGATTTTGAGAAGTTTATTATTTTGGTTTTGAATTATAGAAATCATGTATACTGCCTGTTTCTTGTGATTGTTGTTTTTGTTATCATTTGAACATTCCAATTTGTAGAACATTGTGTTAACTTCTAGCACATTATAATTAATTAGGTAGTTTTCTCAACACTTGAAATCTATCCATTCTTTCTTCTCTGCTTGCTTTTCTATAATTACTTCCCTGTCCTCTCCCAAAACATCCTTCTACCATCTTTAGGTTTAGTTTATGTATGTGAAATGTGAATACAGATGTAGGCCTTTATGTTATAGGGCATCATTCAGTGAAAAACTCTTCCAGAGAACCAGAGCAGCAAGATGTGCATGAAGGTATCCAGAGTTTGTGGAAGCCTTAATTATTAAGGGGCCAGGTACTGGTAACTGGATTAGGGAAATGTGTTAATAATCTTGAATAGATAAAAAAGATGTTTACTTTTACTTTGAGTATCACATCGTAAAACATTAAATATCAATGTACACAAATGCACAGCAAAATTTTATACAGGAGAAATACATAAAATATTTTTTATAAATAAATGGATTTCAACTTTTTCCTCCTTTGTGCTCCAATATGAGTCATACACATCAATGATCACAATGCTAGTGGATGTGGTCAGGTGAGAATTGAGAATTTACTGTTGTGAAGGTCATTTTAATTTGGCCACCACCTTCACCCCGTAGAATAATTCTGACATCACCCCTGCCCGTAGTACACACTGCTACATCCATTTTTTAAAGTCACTCTTTAAAAATGTATTGTTTCCTAATATGTAGTCTTAGATTTTTTTTTTACCTCAATTCTGTATTTCAGGAATCAGGACAATTTCAGTGTATGCCCATGCAAAGAAGAATAAAGGTGCCATTAATCTCGAAATTGTTTGGTGCAAAGCTACACTATTTTGCCTATGATGTGTGTCCTTTGCCTCTCACTGTGATTTCTCCTAGTGAGGCTCTACTAGATCAAGCTAGGGAGAAAACTGGGGTAATGAAATTGGTTTCTTTATGTTAACCATTTTACTGTAATTACCAACTTATATTTATTTCATTATGTATTTTAGTATTCAATATTTAGCTTTAGTTTGAAGTTCTTTTCTCCTGTATATTATTTATTTTTTTTACTTTTATTTTTTACTTTTTTTAGCTGAACCATCCTGCCACCTGTTGGCAGCTCAGCAGCAGCTCAGCTCGGGCTGGGAATCGAATTGTTGACCCTGTTGCTCAGAGCTCGCACTCTTGAGCAAACTTTTAACAAACTGAGCCACTCGTCTGATCCCTCTTGTATATTCTTTTGATAGTTGACATGTGAAGACTAAATTCTTGCTTCCTTTGTCATAGATTAAATGACCATACAGGCATGGATATATTTCTGGGTTCTCTATTCTATTCCATTGATCTATGTGTCTGTTTTTATGCCAATACCATGGTGTTTTGATTTATGTGGTGTAGTATAATTTGATATCACATAATGTTATACCTCCAGCTTTGTTCTTTCTCAGGATTGCCATAGCTATTCAGGGTCTTTTATGGTTCCATATAAATTTTAGGATCATTTATTCTTGATCTGTGAAAAATGCCTGTGGTATTTTGATAGGGATTGCATTGAATCTAAGATTGCTTTGGGTAGTATGGACCTTTTAACTATGCTAATTCTTCCTATCCATGAGCATAGTATATGTTTCCATTTATTTGTATCTGCTTTAATTTCTTCAGTGTCTTATAATTTTCTGAGTATAAGTCTCTTACTTCCTTGGTTAAATTTATTTCTAGGTTTTAAATTTTTTTTAATTAAATTTATTTGGGTGACATTGGTTAGTAAAATTATATAGGTTTTAATTGTACTTTTCTATATTACATCATGTATATATTGCATTCTGTGTTCACCAGCCAGAGTCTGTTCTCCTTGCATCACCATATATTTGATCCACTTTTTCCTCTTCTACCACCACCCACTTACCCCCGGTAACCAGTAAACTGTTGTCTGTGTCTATGAGTTTTTGTTTCTTTGTCTCGTTCCTTTGTTACTTTCAGTTTTACATCCCACATATGAGTGAAGTCATATGGTTCTTGGCTTTTTGTCTGATTTATTTCGCTTAGCACGATAATCTCAAGATCCATCCATGTTGTCACAAATGGCAGTATTTCATCTTTTCTTATGACTGAGTAATATTCCATTGTGTATATGCACCACATCTTCTCTATCCAATAATCTATCAAAGGACAAAGGACACTTTGATTTTTTTTCTATGTCTTGGCCACCATGAATAATGCTGCAGTGAACATCGAGGTACAGACTTCTTTATAGATAAATGTTTCCCGATTTCTTGAGTAGATACCCAGGAGAGGGATTGCTAGGTCATATGATAATTTTATTGTTAATTTTTTCAGGAGCCTCCATAGTGTTTTCCATAGTGGCTGTACCAATTTACATTCCCACCAGCCATGTATGAGGGTTCCTTATTACTTCTAACCTTTCCCACGCTTGCTATTACTTGTCTTGTTAATAATAGCCATTGTAACAGGTGTGAAGTGGTATCTCATTGTGGCTTTGTTTTTGTATTTGCCTAATCGCTAGTGAATTTCAGCTTTTTTTCATACATCTGCTGACCACTTGTATGTCTTCTTGGGAGAAGTGTCTGTTCCATACAAATCGGGTGATTTTTGTTGTTGTTCTGTTTCTTGAAAAAATGCCATTGTGATTTTGATGGGGCGGTGTGGGGGGGTTTGCCTTAAATCTGTATATTGCTTTGGATAATATGGCCATTTTAACTATGTTGATAATTCCAATCTATGAATTTGGAATATCTTTCCATTTCTTCTTGTTTTTTTCAATTTCTTTTAATAATGTCTCATACTTTTCAGTGTTTAGGTACTTCACATCCTTTGTTAAGTTTAAGACTAGGCACTTTATTTTATTTTATTTTATTGGTTGTGATTGCAGAAGGATTTTTTTATTTTTCTGAAATTTTATTGTTAGTATATAGGAATGCAATGGATTTTTGTACATTGATTTTGTGTCCTGCAATTCTACTGTATTTGTTTATTGTTTCTAAAACTTTTTGGTGGAGTTTTTAGGGTTTTCTATATAACGATAATGTCAACTGCAAAAAGTGACAATGTAATTTCTTCATTCCCAGTTTGGATGTCTTTTATTTCTTTCTCTTGCTTGATTGCTCTGGCTAGGACTTCTAATAGTACTATGTTGAATAACATTGGTGACTGAGGCATTCCTGTCTTGTTCCTGATTTTAGAGGAAAAGCTTTCTGTATTTAACCATTGAGTATGATATTAGCTGTGGATTTGTTGTATATTGCCTTTATTATGTTGAGGTACTTGTATACTCATTTTATTGTTTTAAAAATAAATGGATGTTGTATCTTGACAAATGCTTTTGCTGAATCTATTGATAAATCATGATTTTTATCTTTAATTTTGTTTGTGGTGTATCTCATTGATTGATAGGCACATGTTGAACGATCCTTGTGCTCATTGAATGAGCCACACTTGATCTTTATAATATATTGTTGTATTTGATTTACTAGTATTTTGTTTAGGATTTTTTGCACCTGTATTCATCAGAGGCATTGATCTGTAGTTGTTTTTTTTCCTAACCTGGTTATTCTAACCAGATTTTCGTATCAGGGTACTGTTGGTCTTATAAAATTATTTAGTAAATATTGCATCTCCTTAAATTTTTTTGGAATAATTTGAGAAGGACAGGTATTAAATCTTCGAATGTTGCATATAATTCACCAGTGAAGCCATGTGGTCCTGGACTTTTGCTTTTGTGGAGGTTTTGGATGATTGTTTGAATTTCCTTACTGTTGATCAGTCTATTTAGATTTTCCCATTCATTGTGATTCAGTCTAGGAAAGTTATATATTTCTAATAATTTGTTCATTTCTTCTAGGTTATTGAAATTGGTGTTATATAGGCCTTCATAGTATTCTTTTATAATCCTTTCTATTTCTGTGGTACCCGTGATAATTTCTCCTATTTCATTTCTGATTTTATTTGTGTCTTTTCTTTTTTTTTCCCTTCATGAGTCTAACCAAAACTTTGTCAATTTTATTAACCTTTTCAAAGAACCAGCTTTGTTGCATTAATTTTTTTCTATTGTCTTCTCTATTTCAGTTAGTTATGCTTTGATTTTTTTTGTTTCCTGTTACCT